GCTTCGTTTTGCCTCTCCTTCTCTCTCTCTCTTTCTTTTTTTCTCTTTCTATCTTTACAGGTAGATATAAAATAAGCTATACGAGGTCCATATAGCACGGAAGAAAGAGACCAGAAGCGTATTTACGAAACCGAATAAAATACTTTGTGTTTATCTCGTGTTTATTATATTTTACTCGTCACGCGATATGAATTTATAACTATAGTATACATTTATAGAAATGAAATAAAATAATCTGCATATGTGTTTCTATAATATTACATATAGCATAACAGAATTATATTATTTCGAAAATATGTATGACATTATCCCAGAATTTGTAACTATTTTATTTAAAGAAAAAGATTGATTAATAATTTTGTTCTCATGATATACTTTTTTTATCGTCATTTGAAAAAAATAATGATTGTGGTGACGAGAGAGTAAGGGGATCGTAAATACGAACATTGGGCGCGTCAAGCGATGCGAACGATCGTTTATCTTCGACTAACACCGCGAATTTGCAAGTTATGCACCGGGTGAGTTTTTATTAGCGCGGCGGCACGCCGCCGACTTTTCTCTCTACGGACCGTGACTAAAAGGGACTAACACGATACTCGGTAGTCGATCGTGCAACGAGTTAGCCGTCGTTCTTTATTACTCGCGATGCGCTGCTGGCTGTAATTGCAAGCGAGCACCTCGAAAATTCATCCGGCGGATACGCGCGCGTTGCGGCCTTATGGTATCTCCTTCTCTCTCTCTTTCTCTCATCGGGACCGGCTGCGCTTTTTTGTTCGCGAGCGTGACGAAAGAAGCTAACGCGGATCGGGTATCGGTATTTGGAAGCCGATCGGGGCCGGTGTGAAACGACTTCGCCACCGTTTCTCATTCCGGAATTAATTGCAGGTACGTTGGAAATAATACGATCTTACGGGTCGCCCGCGAAAATAGACTCTCTCTCTCTCTCTCATCGTCATGATAGCGACGCGAGAAAATTTTAAATTTATTCTTTACGTTGTATTTTTCCATCATATTCAGCTCTTCGTTCGATAAACGTACGCGTATGTAAAGGATAAATTGAAGACATCGTCTTAATAACAAAGAGGAATTAACGCGTCGGCGGAAAGGGACTAACACGATACTCGGTAGTCGATCGTGCAACGAGTTAGCCGTCGTTCTTTATTACTCGCGATGCGCTGCTGGCTGTAATTGCAAGCGAGCACCTCGAAAATTCATCCGGCGGATACGCGCGCGTTGCGGCCTTATGGTATCTCCTTCTCTCTCTCTTTCTCTCATCGGGACCGGCTGCGCTTTTTTGTTCGCGAGCGTGACGAAAGAAGCTAACGCGGATCGGGTATCGGTATTTGGAAGCCGATCGGGGCCGGTGTGAAACGACTTCGCCACCGTTTCTCATTCCGGAATTAATTGCAGGTACGTTGGAAATAATACGATCTTACGGGTCGCCCGCGAAAATAGACTCTCTCTCTCTCTCTCATCGTCATGATAGCGACGCGAGAAAATTTTAAATTTATTCTTTACGTTGTATTTTTCCATCATATTCAGCTCTTCGTTCGATAAACGTACGCGTATGTAAAGGATAAATTGAAGACATCGTCTTAATAACAAAGAGGAATTAACGCGTCGGCGGCGGCGGCGGCGGCGGCGACAGTAAAGAGATGAGAAAAATTTTCGTGAAAAGCCGCCGACATGATTTATAATGATATGTCGGTATTGTTCTTCAAACACGTAGCCGAGCTTTCCGCGTTATTCGTAGGCGGTATGAGACTCGTTTACGGCTTTACGGTTGGCCATGCGGGATTCAAACGCCTCGTATTACCATAATATGAACCATTACGATGAACCAGCTGGTCGGCCGATGCGTTTCGCACGGCGAGCGAGAGAACGATCAAGAGAAGGACATGTGAAGAAAGGACGGGAGAAAAGGTGAGGGGAGTGAAAGGGTGTTACTACGATATTTTTTCAGCGGGTAATTAAGTGCGCTGCATAAGAAATGGTATTTTAATGAATCGTAAAGCCACCGGTTTTGTGACATTACCGCGCCGCACCGTCAGTAATCTTTCCTACCTGCAGATTATACGGCCATTAAAAGTGCATCGAATAGCAATTATAAATTTCACAATCGAAGCGCGCATTCTTGAAATTCACACGTACGATCATTGCCGAGTTTCTTTTTTGAAAATAGGTATATATTGTATTTTTCAAAAATCGCGACATGATCTATGATTTAACGAAACGTTGGAATTCTATTTTGAAGTGAAACTTAAAATAATTCGATTTGTTTTTCGTCACACAATTTTGCTTTAAATTTTTGCTTCAACGAAATGTTACAAATTTCAACGAGGTATGATTATACATATTAATGTAATACGTATGTATATCTACGAATGTTGTGAGTCAATTCAGGCATTTAGTATTTTAATTCAGTAATTAAGCATTGTTAATTGACGGATATAAAATTAAAATCTTTTGGAACCTCTTTTTCTAAATATTAGCCTTTTTTCGCTTGGTAATATTTTCACGTCTATACTTTAATTCTATCCGATCCTGTCTCCGAATCGACATTACAAAGGAAGACGATCACGCGATTGATACTCGAGCGAATTTGTCGTAACACACATTTCACGCGATTGGAACGTCGTTAACTCCCTAGTCTCCTCTCGTCATTACCCGATTGCGTCATAGCCGCGCACGTGCCCGGAGCGATTCTTTGGGGTCCGGCGAAGTCTGTGGAAAATAAGAATGGTGAAACGCAACACGCGCTGTGTAACGCGTTGTGTCGCCTTACGTCTCCTGGTGAAAACTGCTTTCATTCGACTATTCGTATGAATTACGAGAACCTGCGAAAAGCCATTCGTGCTATGCGGGACTACGCGAAGACGCGTATGATGTATGCCTCACACAATCGTAGATATACATACATATTATATTAATATGTATAATCGAACCTCATTGAAATTTGAAACGTTTTTTGAAGCAGAAATTTAAAATTTCTTAAAACCATAGAAAAATGATTACATATATATGTAAAATGATTACGAAAATTATAACAAATGCTTGAGATATATTATAAGTAAATAGTAAAAAAAATAAACCATTAAATTTCTATGAAAAGTCAGCGTTATGTGCCAAAAGCAAAAATCACTATTGTATTCCTTTAGATATTTTGTGATAAATAAAAGAAATAATCAAGATATGGAAGAGCCCGTGCAGCCAATATTCTCTCACAATTATATATACGGTTAAAAATATATATACATTTAGCTGTCGCTTTGTTTTGTATCATAAAAGTTTAAAAAATTCGTTATATGTTATGATATTTTTAATAATTAATATAATTTTTTCTCATAGAAGAGAGAAATATATTTTTATTTTTTTTTATAAAATCAAAAGTGAAAGAAGCAATAAATAGAATATATACAAATATATATTTAACTATGTAAATTCTTGCTCTTTAAAAAAATGCAAAATAAAATTCTTTAATTAAAATTTTTGAATGCAATAATGTATTTTTAAGCATACATTTAAACGCGCGCAAGTATTTTGGTCTGAATAAAGATTTTTCACACCCCAAATCATGCTAAATTATTTTCTTTCTGTAGTATGTGTGTGTTTCTGTGTGTATGTGTGTGTGTGTGTGTGTGAAAGAGAGAGATCTCAGAGAATGTCACAGTACTTTAATTTTCTGCCACAACACGCGGAAGTGATCGTCAAAAATATTTAATCGTATATTATACACATATGAGCAATAATTATAATAATTCTTTCCGAGTTTTGATTCTTAAGAAATTTTTTTTTCTCATGATCTTAGGGAGTATCCTTAAAGATAGTACTTGCATTTTTAATACAAAATGCAGAGTATATATTTTGAAATTAAAGTTACACACATTCCTAGTCCTTCCTCTCCCTCTCAACTCTTAAACTATATTTTTTTCTGTTGTCTTGAAAAGTTTTAAAAGATGCTACAGTACAGTTATTAATAAATATGAATAGAATGATAAATAGACTATGAAAAATTAAAATAACTAGCATATTGTAAGATCAACACAATTATCAATCATGGACGCGTTATTTATTAAATAAATCAGTTAGAAAATATTATGTATGATTTTAAAATATTCCTTCTTGCATTTTCATATGATTATTCTATAATTTATAAATACATACACACATAATATAAATAATTAAAAGTCTCTTAAAAATAATATTGAACTTAAATATATTTTTGTATATGTATACATATCTGTAAACTTATTAATTATATTATA